CGTTCCTTAACCACCATATCAACATGGCCCTGTGCTTTTTTTTTTTTTTTTTTTGAGAGGTATTTGCTATAGGGCTCACGAGCTCGTCAGAAAGACAGAGAGAGACAGAGAGATAGAAAGCGAGAAATCACTGCCCAGAGGGGGATGGCCATGCCACAATCTCTTCTCCTCCATTCTCCTCTCAGGATCTTGGACACGCTCACACACGCACCTGGCGTGAGTTTAAGGCACCGGGTCCGGGACTCGAACCATGGTTGATTACATGGGAGTCCAGCGACATAGCCATTATGCCAACTGCTAGTCCCAGGCCCTGTGCTTATTTTTAAATGTATTTATTTGCTTGCTTTTGCTATGAGTTGTATCTCCATACAGAAGTAGTATCTCCCCAGACTGCAGGAACCTCAAGGCCAGATGTGATCCCCTTTATGTGGCTGCCAAGCTCCGGGTAACCCCATACTGTCATCTTGCTGTCCTCCTTCTAGCTCCTGTGGGAGAAAAGCAAAGAGAGGGCACAAAGGAGCAGGACATGTCCCAGCTTTCTCTGCACCAGAAACTGGAAGAGCTGGTTGAGTCTGGCCAGAATCCAGGTGCCCTCAGGTCTGTCCTCTACTGCCCACAGCAGCCAGCCGCAGTTTGCAGCTCCTCCGTGTGAGGTTGGGCTCCAGCCGCAAGCAGTTGCTTTCCTTAAAGCCATCCTGGCCAACATGTGGCCCTGCAGTTTCCACACACTCAGGTTCTTGTCGTGTTTCACCCCACCACCCTCAGTGCCTGGTATCCACCTCGAGGTCAAGTGGTGGCCATCACTTCCACAGTCCAGTCAGCAGAAGGGGTTCCAGCACAGAGGAGAGACCTCCCTCCCCCCAAGGAGACATCATTGAGGCAACACCCCGCCCCCATATTGCCTCCCACCCGGGAAGGCCACAGGAAGTTGCAAAAGCAATGGGGGTGGGAGCTTGTCAGGTCAGTCATGCACCTGCTGCAAAACAGTTGTTGTCACCAGGGCACAAGGAGCGGCAGGACCTTGGGTGGTCCCCAGCAGTCCTTGTTATGCTGTGCTGGAAGGTTCTTCTGGGCCCCTGACATCCTACAGCGGCCTCTGGGTCACCGGGCCACACCCAGCCTCAGGAGAACAGCAACAGTGCCCGTGTTTGCTCCATGAGTCCCGGGCGAATGTCTCTTGAGAAATATTGCCTGCACCAGAGCAGGTCAGAGCACCCCTGCCCTCAACGGCTTATGGCCTAGCCGGGAGAACAGGCAACATGCAAGGGACTCTTCTGGCCAACAGCATCTCCTGAGGTTCCAGATCTACCTGTCAAGTGACAGGAGGTACAATGATATAGGAAAGAGAAAATGACACTGGAGGGGACACGCTCAATTGAACTCTAGAGAAGGATTACTGTAACGTAATGTAATGTAACGCACACGTGCCTGGCGTGAGTTTAAGCCACTGAGTCTGGAACTCGAACTGTGGTCGACTACATGGGAGTTCAGCGACATAGCCATTACGCTAACTGCTCGTCCTACATCCGGCATTTTTGAAGCCACTGAGGACTCAAACCACAGTTGGCTATATGGAATCCGGTTCCCAATGCACAGGGCTTAGCCACTCTGCAATGAGGCTGCCCCTTTATTGTACTATTTGTTCTGTTTTTTGTTGTTGTTGTTGTTTGTTTGTACAGGGTATGTGTGCTCACCTGAGAGAGGGAAAGTGAGAAAGTATCCTCAGGGGACATGGCCATGGCACAGTCCCTTCTCCTCCATTCTCCTTTTGGGATTTTGGGTATGCACACACATGCACTTGTGTGTTTTAAGCTGCCAGGTCCATGAATTGAAACACAAGAGCAGTCATATGGGATCAAGCTGTCTTAACCATCACACCCTGACTGGCCCCATTGTACTATTTTTAAATTTGATCAAGGTTGAAGTTTTTTCTTATTTTTTTGGGGGGGAGAGGTTTTTGCTATCGGGCGTGTGCAGAAAGTGAGAAATCACCCCCAGGAGGAATGGCCACGCCGCAATCCCTTCTCCTCCATTCTCCTCTCGGGATCTTGGGCATGCACGCACACACGCCCAGCGTGAGTTTAAGCCACCGGGTCCAGGACTCGAACTGCAGTTGACTACACGGGAGTTCAGTGACATAGCCATTACGCTAACTGCTGGTCCCTCTTCTTTTTTTTTTCTTTTTTGGAGAGGTTTTTGCTATAGGGCGCATGCACTTGCCAGAAAGACAGAGACAGAGAGATAGAGAGTGTGAGAAATCACCCCCCAGGGGGGATAGCCATGCTGCAATACCTTCTCCTCCTGGGATCTTGGGCACGCACGCACACGCGCCTGGTGTAAGTTTAAGCCACTGGGTCCAGGACTCGAACCATGGTTAACTACATGGGAGTCCAGCGACACAGCCATTATGCTGACTGCTGGTCCCCCTCTTCCTTTTTTAAAAATTATTTTAAATTTTATTTATTCATTTACTTATTTTATTTTGACCAGAGAAAGACTCAGAGAGAGAATGCAAGCCACCAGGTCTAGGACTCGAACCACGGTTGGCCATGTGGGAATGTCCAGTGCCTTAACCACTGCGCCAACTGCTGCTCCCCTGGTTTCTTTTCATTCTTTTTTTTTTAAAGAGACTTTTGCCTTAGGGATGTGTGCTCACCAGAGAGAGAGACAGAGACAGTGAGAGGGAAAGTGAGAATTTGCCCCCCAGGGGTGATGGCCATGTCATAATCCCTTCTCCATTCTCTTCCCGGGATCTTAGGCATGCACGCACATGTGCCCAATGTGATTTTTAAGTCACTAGGGCTGGGACTCGAACCGTGGTAGACTCTCTGAGAGTCTAGCTATGTATCCACTACACCATCTCTGGTCCCTCGAGGTTGAAGATTTTTAGTAAGAAGTTGGAGGAAATAATCATTCCACTATTTAACTGAACAGCTACAATGAGGACTATGGAAGTAGAGGCTCCAGCTTATTCTGGAAGCAGAGGATACCCCCAAGGAATGGACTGGGCCGGATGTTGAAAAGGGCAGGAACTTGGCGAGGCAGAGGCTGACCAGAGCCAGGAATTTGGGCTTCATTCGAGGTCAACAAGAGGCCACCTATATTCTGTCTTATAAGTTCCTCCTTTTAGGGAGTACTCCCAACCTCACCCTGGTTGTGCGCGTTTGCGCGTGTGTGTGCGTGCGTGCGTGTGTGTGTGTGTGTAAACCCCTGCCCAATGAAGCCAGCCAGAGCCCATCCCTGGGATTTATAACAGGACCAGAAAGGTCCTCCTTGCCTAGGTCAATCGATGAGAGTGTGGCTTAGGAACTCCAGGTCCCACTGCATGGACACAGCTGGTCACAGCTGGTCTGAGAAGGAAGCTCACACGGAGAAGCCAAGACAGCATCTGGTGGTGTGCCTATATCATGACCAACTGAATCTAGGACCTTGGGGGCCTTGCTGGTTCAAATTGGTCACTGTCACTTGCAACCTATTCAGTCCTAGCTAACGGACCATGAAAGGGTTTGAGTTAGTACTGGCCTGGCTAGAGAAGGGCTGGGTTGTTGAGGTTGGGGAGGGGAGCCCGCCAGTGTTCCCTCTGGGTCATAACTGAGAGAAAATAGACAGGAACCATTTACAGTTAAAAGAAAATAAAAGCTTTGGGCTGACTCTGTAGGGCAGTGGTTAAACCCTGTGCATTGGGAACTGGGTCTCACATGGCTGACTGAGGTTCAAATCCCAGTCCTAGTGACTTGAAAAACACTCCAGGCAGTTATGCCCAAAATGCTGATGGGAGGGAGAAATGGAAGAAAAGGGATGTGGCATGACCATGTCCCAGTGTGTGTAGGGTGGTTTCTATGTGTGTGTGTGTGTGTTTTCTCTTTGGTGAGCACACATGCCACTAAGAAAGAAGAAAAGTATACGTTTTAAGTAAGGATGAGTTAATAAAAAGGTGCAGACCCTAAGAACCACTTACAAAAAGTTCCAGAGTAGACAAAATTAATTCCTGGTGATAAGAGACCAGGCAGTAGTGGCCTCCAGGTGATGACAGTGGAGTTATCTACCTGGTTTGGGGCGGCTGGTGTACAGGTGTGCACACTCACCAAAACTCACTGTACTTCACACCCATGTCACTTCATGACGACTGAAAAAACTGATCAGGTGGGGCCAGCAGGTGGTGTGGTAGTTAAGGTGCTGGACTCCCATATGGCTGACTGTGGTTCGAGTCCCTGACCTGGTCACTTGCTTTCTCACTTTCCCTCTCTCTGTTCAAATTAATAAATGGATAAAGTTAAATAAAAATAATTCTTTAAAAATTGTTAAAAAATGTTTGATCAGAGGGACCAGCAGTTAGTGTAATGGCTATGTCGCTGGATTCCCTTGCAGTCGACCGTGGTTCGTGTCCCGGACCCGGTGGCTTAAAACTCACGCTGGGTGTGTGTGCGTGCGTGCCCAAGATCCTGAAAGGAGAATGGAGAAGGGATTGCGGCGTAGCCATCCCCTATAGGGGTTGATTTCTCACTTTCTGTCTCTATGTATCTCTCTGTCTGGCTGGCGAGCGCACACGCCCTATAGCAAAAACCTCTCCAAAAAAAAAAGTAAAATAAAAAATAAAAAATTAATCAGGCAAGTGACCAATAACTTCCAGTATAAAAAGTTATATATATATATTTAATGACAAGAAAAAGGCATCAACAGCCCCTGGGCCAATTAAACACTCTCTTGATCATGTCCCTGGCTTCTGAGTTAATTTGGGTCACAATTGCTTGGCAGGGTGGCAGGGACCAGACTCAAGCTGGTGGAGTGAAGGGGGTTGGGGTAGGGTAGACCCTGTGTGAAGAGGGGAGCTGGCCTCTACTTGGGTTAGGAGTGACCCCCTCCCTTTGGTGTTTGGGACAGGTTGAGGACTGGTGACCATTCTCTCTTACGGTGGGTGAGCTTATCATCTGACCCAGGGCTTTCCCTTGTTGCTTTTGATCATGATTTTATTTGCTATAGGCTATTTAATGTCCTATTTCTTTTTGGGTCAGTTATGGTCATTTGTCTTCCATCTTGGCTAATTTATTGTCATAGTCTTTTTTTTTTTTTTAAAGAGGTTGTTGCCTTAGGGCACGTGCTCTTGCCACAGAGACAGTGAGAAATCATCGGTAATCCCTTCTCCTCCATTCTCCTAGGATCTCAGGCACACTCACACATGCACCCGGCATGATTTTCAAGCTACCAGGTCCAGGACTTGAAGTGCAGTCAGCCATGTGGGAGTCCAGCAACTCAACTGCTCAGCTATCTGCTGACTCCTATTGTCATAGTTTTTCATGGTATTTTACCATCCTTTTGTGAAATTGGCGGTATCCTCCTCTCCCCCTTCACTACTGATTCCCATTACTTCCATCCTCTTTCTGGTCAATTGAAAGGTTAAAGAACAAAGTTTTATGTTGATTTCTTGTTCTGTCCTCTATCTGCTGTAGTTATTTCCTTCCGTTACCTTTGGGTTCTTTGCTCTTCTTCAAGTTCTTCAAGGTGTGGTGTCATAACTGATTTTGTGTGGGCATTCGGCTGTATATTTCCCCCGTAGTACTGTTTATGCTGCATCCTAAGTTTTGATATGGTGTTTTTGTGTTTATTCATCTTGATTTTCTAATTTCCCTTGGGATTTCTTTCTTGGCCTTTTGCTTGCTAAAGTGTGTTAATCTGCACATATTTGTGAACTTTCCAGTGTTCTCTTCGCTGTTGACTTCTAGTTTCACTTCATTGTGGTCTGAGAAGCTAATTTTGAGGGTGTTGATCTCTACTGTGACTTGCTTTGCGGCCTGTCTTGGAGAACCCCTGTGCACCCAGGCAGTTTGTATCCTGCTACTGTTGTGGTGGTGAGGTTTCAGTGCATATCAGGTCTAGTCAGCTTTTTAGACTACGTAATACTTGGCACATAGGTAAGAATACACGAGACACAGGAAGTTAACAGCTGAAACCCAGAAAATTGCTGCTCAGGGCACCCTTTCCCATCCTGCAGGTCAGCCTCCAGCAATGTGAACCCTCCTGGCTTTTTTTGGTCATTTGAGCACATACATGTGAATCTCAGACAACACATATGTGGTTTAGAGCTTTATAAAAATGACGTTCTACTCCATGATGGTCTACACCTTGCTTTTCATCCATGCTATTCTATGTTGTGGTGGGGAACAGAGTTGGGGTCCCCATTTCTTGCTCTGGAACATTCTGGCACAGCCTTCTCAGCACCTTCCTGAGAATAGGTTCCTGGGCAGTTTGCAGTCCTGCTCACCCATTCTCTGGCTTCCACTCCACCAGAGCACCTAGGCTTGTGGTAGTACCGGGAGCATTGCATCAGAACCCATAGCTATTAAAGGGCACCGTCCCCACACTCCCAGGGTGGGCTGTGGCCAAGAGGGATTTGCCTGGTCTGCTTCCTCTTGGCCCCCAACACTGGAGAGTATATACTGTTTTTTTTTCTTTTCTCCTCTTGGCCAGAGAAGCGGAGAGCAGAGGCTCTGTAAGGGGTCAGACAAGGTGCACTTGCATTTCCAGCCCCGGTGCCCTGCCCTTCTCAGACTCTCCCTTTCGCCCTGGACTTCCAGGGACTCCTCCAGAGGGCACAGGGCAGTCTTTGTGGCTGGCTGAGGTGTGGGCTGCCCTCCTTAGCCATTTCTTGTCCCTCAGCATTTCTGCTTCTTCCATGGACAGGAAGGAAAAGTTGGGCGGGCAGATGGCAGCCAGGACACACCTCTGTACCCTCTGGAGACAGAGCCCAGGGCAAGTGACCTCTGGTTAGGCTAGGACTGCCCAGCAGACAACTGGCTCCTGCCCTAGGGCATACCCAGGGAAGGTGACAGGGTGGCAAATGTCTCCCTGGACAGGCAAGGGACACTTCACAAAATAGCTCTACAGCTGAAGCCAACTTGGAAAATTCCAGGGAAGAGGAAATTTACCACTGGGCGGGAATAGCTGAGTCTGGTCTAGGAACATCCCGCATATGCCGTGGGCCTAAGGCCAGTCAGGCTTTACTGGCAGAGGCCCAGCCTCCAGGTGGGTGACTGGCTTCCTGCGGAGACCACAGCCCCCAAGGGGAAGGAGGGATTCAGCCAGGCCCACCAAGAGGGAGTCTTTTAATAGAGATGGGCAAAGACAGGAGACACGACAGGCCCAGGTATGCTGCCCAGTGTGGACCCTGGGCTGGTGGAGCCAGGGGCTTTCCCTCCCCCAGGTCTGGGCCACCAGGTGAGGACAGGAGAGGCGGTTTGAAAACACAGCTGCACGAACTCTTCACTTCCAAGGGGAAGGGGACTCGGGAGGGCAGCCGCCGGAAATCGGCAACGCTGAGCCAGACCCAGGGCCCACACAGGCAACTTGCTGGCCTGCCCCAGCTGGTCCACCCTGAGCTACCTGTACCAAGAAGGTGCAGAGTGCAGGGAACCGGTGATGGCAGGCCAGGGGGCAGCTGGCTCAAAAGGTGCCCCCGCTGGTAGTGTTCCTACGCTATGTACATCATTGTGCTTTGTCGCACCCACCCCAGCCTCGCCTGGAGTCAGGGTGGGGAGAGGGTCTCGACCCAGCCCCTAAAGGCCAGCGCTCAGCCTGGGGCTGCTGGGCACAGGGACAGTGGGAGCCAGGGCCGGCTTTCTGTGGTTGAGGAGGAGGAGTCAAAACAGAAGGGCCAAGGCTGGACAAGATGCAGGCGGGTGGAGCAGGCAGGTGTGAGGACGAGCTGCGAGGCCATGAGGGCAGGGGACATGGCTGGGCAGGGCAGGGCGGGCAGGCGCACCTCAGCGGAACCGTTCTGTGGCACTCACAGAGGGGAGGCGAGGGCTGTGGCTAAGCCCCTCCGTGAGCACAGAGCAGAGCCACTTCAAGTTCAGGGTGGGCTGCGGTCCAGGCCCGTGCCTGGGGTAGGATCAGGGAGGCCCCAGCACACTGTGGGGCTGGGCTGTGGTGATATCTGTGAGCCTGTCCCCGCCGGGTGGGCAGGGTCCACACAGGGTCAGTTGTTCTCAAAGAGAGAGAGCAGGTCGTCATTGCTGTTGGTGGGGAGGTCGGGTGGGCCCAGGTAGGACAGCAGCTCGTCAGGGTTGGTCAATTCTGGGAGCAGCTGAGAAAGAAGCAGGCTCATTAGCAGCTCTGGTCTGAGACCTGCCCTTTGAGAGGCCCTCCTGCCCTCCTCCACACCGGCTCAGTCTAGAGGGGCCACACAGCTGCCTGGGATCTCCCTGTAGGTGCACCTGCCCCTGGTGGCCCAGCTTCTGAGAGCACACAAGGAGGGGCACAGGCCCGCGGGCAGTCCCCATGAGATTCTGCAGGGTGAGTGCTGGGGGGGAGTCCCAGCTCTGTGTAGCACTTGCAGACCAGGAAGGCAGCTCTTCTGGCCCCCACACCACCCACAGGCAGGACACAGCTACTGCCCCAAGGGTCGGGTCACGTTGGACTCAGCTTCCAGCACCCATAGCTAGGTTGCCACAACATGGATGCCAGCCATGACTGCAGGGCTGGGCAGTCGTCTGGCTTGCTCTCCAGGCGAGTTCCCAGTCTCCCTTCTCAGAAGTGGTGGACTCTAGGATCCTGGCTGGCCACCTTCAGCCCCCACATGCTGCCCAGCACAGGGCCTGGTACTTACGTCCAGAGCTGGCTCAGGGGCCTCCCCTGCCCCAGACATGCTGGGCGGGCCCATCACGCCTGCGGAAGGGTTGAAGGCCAGCTCGCTGACAGAGCCAGGAGCTGCCTGGCCCAGGGGCTGCCGGGATGTTGGAGGAGGGGTTGGATGGTGCAGCTGGGGAGTATGCAGCCCTGGTGGCCCAGGGTTGTGGGCTGAGTCCAGGTGGCCCATGGGTCCCATCTGAGGACAGAGAGAATTGCTCGTTCCAGCAGCCCAGAGGCTCCCAGGTGAGATAGGTCCCTGGCCCTTGACCCTCACTGACCTGGCCTGGTAGGCAGGAAGCAGGCTTCTCTGGAGTCAGGAGGCTGCTGGGAATGTCAGACTGGTAGGAGATGGGGGGCGGCCCTGGGTTGAACTCCGCAAGGGTTGGGGTGCTGGGTGTGGCAGGCGGGAAAGACTCAGGGAAGGTTCCAGGACCCAGGAAGCTGGAACCTGTGAGAGTAGGGTGCTGGGTGAGTCCGAGGGCTCATGCTGGCCAGGGGGGGCCTCACGAGGCTTACCACTGATAGTAGCAGGTAGGACAGAATAGATATTTGGAAAAGGTGTTCTGCTTATTGCTGCCTGAAGTAGCCTTGGGACATTCCTAAGGGTGAAGGTCTCAGGAGTACAGAAACAGGACATGCCACAGCCAGACGCACCACATACGCCAGGTAAGCCTTGGATGGGTGCCCCACGTGAGGGCCAGGCCATAGATGTGTTCCAGCTAAGAGCCTCTCACTCCAACCATGGTACACAGCAAATGTACCGCTGCCTGCTAATAGGGCCATGTGGGGACTGCCTTCACACAGCGTCCCCAAGGTCGGACGTGCAGGACAAGCATCCCTTGGCATGTTTTGGTTGGACACAGTGAAAACTAGCTATGTAGCAATACTCTCACTGGTCTGGAGAGGACCAGCTACCTGCTGGGGCCACCTGAGAGTCAAGGCTGGGCCTGCTGTACTCACCCTGGCCAGGGTAGTCGCTGGGGACAGGGGCTGAGGGGGGCTGCAAGGGGGCAAAGGGGGCAGCGCCTGGGCCCAGGGCGGCGATCATCTCCATCACGCTGGGCATGAGCACGTGGGCGGGGCTCACGGTGCGGCAGCGTTTCAGCGCTGGCCCGTCTGGCTCCTCCTTGATGTGCACATCCGGCTTCACGGGCACTGGCTTCCAGCTGCATGTGGGGTCGATGGTGATCTCCTCATAGTCGGAGCTGGACAGGGACAGAGAGGCCAATCACCTGCTGCCCCTCCTGGCCCAGGGGTTTCCAGGCAGACCCTCCACTTGGATGCTTTATGGCCACCCAGCACGTTCTGAGTGCCCAGCAGGAGGCCGGCCCAGTTCCAACAGGCATGTAAGACCTGTCTCTGCCTGGAACCTGGTCTGCTTGGTGCCAAGAGGCTTGGAGGGCCTCATACTTGCACCCGGGAGCCTCTCCTAACCCCACCCATCCTAGGTTGCCCTCTGGTGGCCACTGGGGCTGGGCTGCAGAAAGAGGACACTCACTTCTGGATGTAAATCAAGATGCCCAGCATGTACTGGTCCACCTCCAGGCCTTCCAGCAATGCCGTCTTGCTGCAGAAAACAATGAGGAGGGTGGGGCTCAGAGGTCTGCCCTGACTCGCATAAGGCACAAGACCCTGTCATTTCTCAGGAACAAGTGGCAAGGCCTCCTACTGTGTCAGGTGACACTGTGTGTGAAGTGACCTGAGCAAGGTAACCCTGTATAAGGTGACCTTACATGAAGATGATTGTATAAAGTGACCCTGTGCAAGGTGCTTCTGCGCAAGGTGACTGGGTGAGGTGATCTTGTGTGTGAAGAGACTTAGTGCATGACATAACCCTATATGAGGGCGACTGTTCAATGTGACCCTATGTGTGAGGTGATCCTGTGAAGTGACTCTGCACGAGGTGACCGTGTGTGAGGTAACCCTGTGTGAAGCAACACTGTGCGACATGACTCTGTGTGAGGTGACCCTGTGCTTGAGGTAAACCTATATGAAAGTGATTGTACAAAGTGACCCTGTGTGTGAGGTGATTCTGTGAGGTGACCCTGTGCATGAGACGGCCCTGTGTGCAGTGACCCTGTGTGATGTAACTCTGCATGAGGTGACTCTGCAAGGAGACCCTGTGAATGAGGTGACCACATATGAAGTAACCCTACGTGAAGTGACCCTATAAGATGTGACCTTGTGTGAGTTGACCGTGTGCATGAGGTAACCCTATATGAGGGTGACTGTACAAAGTGACCGTGTGTGTGAGGTGACCGTGTGCATGAGGTGACTTTGTATGAAATGACCCCCCCTGAAATGGCCCTGAGCATGAGGTGACCCTGTGTGCAGTGACCCTGTGCAACGTGACTCTTGTATAAGGTCTGCATGAGGTCTCTGCCCTGAGCTGCACTGTCCTGGTCCACGTGTGACTCTTCCCAGTGGGCTATGTATTTGGTGATACTGTGAGAAGTTCCATCCATGAAAACCTTTGAAGAAGGGTTCATCCCCCCTCATACGCCACATCTCCAAGACTCACTTGCACACTGGGCACCTCCAAGTCCCTCGCTCACAGTTGAGCTGTAGGTATGACTCCAGGTCGAAGCACTGTAGAGACAGGAGAGGGGCCATTTCTCACTGTGGGCCAGGGAAGTTGGCCAAACCAAGATCTGTTTCACGATTTGACTTATTTATATCCGTGTGTTTTTGTTTTTAAGAGATTTTTTTTTTTTTTTAACTATAGGGTGCCTGCGCTTGCCAAAGACAGAGAAAGATGGAAAGTGAGAAATCACCCCCTAGGGGGGATGGCCATGCCACAGTCCCTTCTCCTCCATTCTCTCCGGATCTTGGGCATGTATGCACACGTGCCTGGCATGAGTTTAAGCCACCAGATCTGAGACTCGAACCGTGGTCAACTTCATAGGAGTCCAGTGACCTAAGCATTATGCCATCTGCTGGTCCCTTTTTTTTTTTTTTTTTAACTATAGGGTGCCTGCGCTTGCCAGAGACAGAGAAAGATGGAAAGTGAGAAATCACCCCCTAGGGGGGATGGCCATGCCACAGTCCCTTCTCCTCCATTCTCTCAGGATCTTGGGCACGCATCCACATGTGCCTAGTGTAAGTTTTAAGCCACCAGATCTGAGACTCGAAACGTGGTCAACTTCATAGGAGTCCAGTGACCTAAGCATTATGCCATCTGCTGGTCCCTATGTGTGTGTTTGAGACAGCTCCTGTGCCAGGTTTTTGTGGCATCCTTATTTAAACAGATCAGGGTCAAGGTTGGAAACAGCCCAAGCAGCCCTCTCCGGAAGTGGAGTGCCATGTTGCCAAGTCAAGAATTGGGAAGCAGTGCTGACGAGGAATCAGTCACCTCCAGGTCATGGTTCAAACTGCAGAGACTGCCACACAACCCAAGAGAGGCATGTGTTTACTTGTCTACATGACTGTTCACTGCTGGAGGTGAGGCAGGAAGAAGACAACATTCTGCATCCTATGCCTTTCTTTTTTTTTTGAGAGGTTTTTGCTATAGGGCACATGCGCTCGCCAGAAAGACAGAGAGATAGAAAGTGAGAAATCAACCCCCAGGGGGGATGGCCATGCCGCAATCCCTTTTCCTCCATTCTCCTCTCGGGATCTTGGGCACACACACACACACACACACACACACACACACACACGCCCGGAGTGAGTTTAAGCCACCGGGTCCGGGACTCGAACTGCAGTTGGCTACATGGCAGTTCAGTGACATAGCCATTATGCTAACTGCTGGTCCCATGTATCCTATGCCTTTTAAAAGGAACCTCACAGGGCCAGCTTACTAGTAAAGGAAACTGGACCCACTGGACTCATTTCAAGTCTCAACCCAGTGGCCAGTGGCTTAAAAACCCTGTTGAGAGCTTGCGCATGCATTTGTGTCAAAATTTCCAACAGGAAGAAGAAATAGAGAAGGGACTGCAGCATAATCACACCACATTTGGGAGTGCTCTCTCCCATTCGCTCTCTTTCTGGCTAGCGCCTATGCCCCCTACCAGTTTAAAAAAAAAAATTCTAAACCCCGTAAATGCGGCAGCTGGTTAAAAAAAAAAAAAAAAAAAGACAGTAAAATGGCAATTATATTAAAAAAACAACACAAGCTCAGCCTCAGAGGAGAGATAGGGTAATCCAGCCATCTGCCCCTTGGCAGGCACCTGTCCTGCCAATCTCAGTTCTAGGTAGAGACCATGTTCGCCCTAGAGGATGAAGCTGATGGATCAGCTCAAATTATTTCAATGGCAGCAAATTCTGGCAAAGCTCAGCAGCAACTACCCACCTGTATGTGGCGACAGTCATGACCACGGGCGGGAAGCTGGATCCTGCGGAAGGTGATAGGGCACTTCAGGGACACCTTGATGGCTGTCTGCTCCACCCCATCTTCTCCATTGGGCCCAGGGGTCCCAGGGATGGTGCCGCTGCTGAAGTTCCGCTTTACTGACATCAACAGGGAGAAGACTTGAGTAAGGGGTCCCTATGGTGGGGAGGCTGGGAGAGGGGACACTACCCAGGGACCCATCTACTCAACAGATGGCTCTGTGAAGCCACCTGGCACTAACCACAACCTCAGTGCAGGTTGCCTGGTATCACTGTCCTGGCGCATGCAGGGCCACCTGGCGCTAAGCACTACCTGGGCGAGGGGCTACCTGTCTAAGCGGGGGCAGCCTGTGTGAACGGGGCTGTGGGCGAGAAGCAGGCTGCACTCTGGGTGGTGCAGTTCTGCAGGGATGCAGCAACGGGAGGGACAGAGAGCCACTCACTCTTGGTGATGCAGTGCTCAGCCGGCAGGAGGCGCTTCTTGAGGAGGCCCTGCAGCACAGAGCGCACAGAAGGGCGGTGCACCAGCTGCAGCACGAAGAGGTGGGACTACGGCACAACAAAAAGGAGGGGTCAGGGTGCGGGCTTCCTACCACCTCTCCAGGGAGTCCAGCTGGTCTGGCTGCGAGGTGGCCATGTGCACCCTTCTCCTGACAACTATGTGTGCACCCTGCACTTTCTCCACACTGCCTGGACCACGTTTATCTGCCAGAACCTGAAGTCTCCAAGTATCCCCCTGCCAGATGCTACCTTACAAGGCCGAGTCTGAGCAAAAAGCTAAGTCCCACGGACCATGACATTTGGCCGCTCATCTCCAGGCTGGGGAGGGGCAGACTAGGCACTCCTAAGCAGTATCTTTGTCCGCAGCTCAGGTCTGCTATGACCCTGGGATCCACAGGAGCCCAGGGAATGCCTGCTTAGTGGAGGCCTTGAGCTCCCAAGCTGTCTGAGCAGCATGGTTACTCTTAGCAGCATGGTTAACATGAGCATCGTATCTAGGGATTTAATCTAGCTGGAAAACAGCCAGAGTGTGTTGAACCAGATCCCTTTCCTTACTGGGCAAGAACAGGTTGAAAATGACACTACAAGGATAGCGCCCACCCAGCTGGGCCCCGCCCCAGCCCACAGCCAGAGCACTGCCCAGCAAGAGATGCTGACCTTGATCTGGGAAGTGCTGGGATGCGTGGCACAATGACCCCACCCCTCATGGCCCTGCCCATGCCCCCACGCACACAGCAGCAGGCGGTGACGGTGATCTGGATGGTGTTGCGGCCCGGCTGGCACACGTGCTTCAGGTAGAGCGGCTTGTGCGAGGTCTTGTTGTCGCCACGCTCGATGGTGAGGGGTGTGGCATTGACACTGACCTGCACTGAGGCAGGCCAGTTGGTGTTCATCTGCCGGTCCTCATGGTGGTAGCACTTGAACTGCAGCTCCAGGTCGGGCCTGTGGCAGGGTGGGTTCTGAATACTGGGCGGGAGGGGACCCCAGGGCCAGAGAGGTGGGCTGGGTGAGGGCTCACCTAAGCATCAAGGTCTTGTAGACAGAGTCCCGGAGCTGGAAGACGTGATTGCTCACAGCCAGGTTGTGCTGCAGGCGGAAGGGCTCCAGGACCACCCCATCCCGCACTGGGAAGGTCAGCCGCAGCTCGTCACACGGGCCGCTTCCTGGAGCAGAGGCCAAGCTGGCTGTGAGCTGGCCTCTTTGGCCAGGGTAAGAGTTTCTGGGGACTTGGAAAGGGTGGCAATCCCCCAGCTCCCCTTGGTGCAGGCACAGGCCAGAGGTACTCTCCACCCAGGCTCCGCTTGGCAGACCTAAGCCATGTCCTGGGTCTGGGGCCTCCATAGTATTTCTCTCAACTCTGGGCCAACTGTCCTGGTGTTCTGCCCTGCCTCAGCCACCCAGCCTAGTGTCCCTCAAGTATGATAGGGGAACATGACCCAACCCAAGCAAAAGGCATTTCCAGTGCTTTCAGAGAGGCGGGAGGCTGAGGTGTGAGTAGGTCCCCTGTCTTTGCTCTACTGCTCAACGGGCAGTATTCTCCATGGAAGCAGGGGTTCTTAGCCAGGAACAGGCTCAGAGGGCTCACAAATCCTCTGAAATTACATGTAAAGTTTTGTGTGCATGGGGGTTTTCTAAAGATACACAGCCTCCAATGGATTTATGAAGAGGTCTATAACAGAAAACGAAGGGAAGGGCTGGCCCAGATGTTTAGTCTGTATAAGGGATAGGGACAAGTGAGAGGCTTTTCCCAGGGCCCCAGCCAACCCTGCAAGATTCTCTGGAGTCCCAGGACCCCCATCCCTCCAGCTATGTCCCCACTGCTGTCCAAGATGGGCAGACTCACCAGAGGGCGACGGGTGCAGGGAGCTGAGGCTGGGCTTGAGGTCAGGCAGGAAGGGAGACTTGACTTCCTGGCCAGGGGACATGTAGGGAACGCTGCTGCTGGGGGTCATGGGTGGCGTGGGGTTCCCTGGCAGTGGGGAGCTGGGGTAGCCAGGGATGGAACGAGCAGGCTGTAGGGGTGAGCACAAACAGTCTGAGCAGAACGGTGGAGGGTAGGATGCAGGCTGTTCACAAGGTGTCTGCTAGGAGTCATCAGAACAGAGGCAGCAGGAAACAGTCCCGGGGTGTCCAGCAGGGACCCACACTTCCTCTACCTGGGTGCCCTCTCTCCATATGCCCACTGTGAGTTCCCAGCCCATCCACCTGGCTGAGCCCTGCACCCGAGGCCACGCTGGCTGTCACTGACACTGCTCACCTTGAAGCTGGCACCCTGCCCCTTGAACTGTTCTGTGGGAGAGGGAACCGCCATGTCCAGGGCACAAGCTCGTCCCTGCTGGGCACTGGACCCGTCCCTAGAAGCCCACCACACACGGGTACAGGCCTCTTGTTCTCCTTTACTCTCTCTTGCGTTTTCTAAACTATCTATTAGGTTGTTGGGAAAGCTACGGCACATTTTTCTATGCAAAAATATATCTGTAAGTTTCCCGACAACCCAATACAAAGAACACTACTGACTCCACCACAGGGAGATAGCTAAGCCCACAGTGGTCAGAGGGACAGAGAAGACAGACGCACCCACCCCTGCCTCCTCCTCACTGCCCTGCCCACGGAGGTTCCTAGAGAGGTGAGCTCCGACCTCCATGTGCTCAGAAGGGGTGTACAGCTGACACAAGGGCCTGTCCCCTGGTTGGGCTTCTCCGCAGCAAGCAGAGGGACAGGGGGCACTCAGGTGCCTGCTGGTTGCTCTGATACCAAATTTATCCCAGATACATGAATCTTGCAGAAGGTCTTTTCAAACTGGACCTCGTACTCCAGGCACTGCACCTGCGCTGGTCAGGACCCCCGTGAACCCTAGTCCTGAGCAAATGTGGACCCACCCCCAGAAAGCCCGTCATCCCTCAAGGGCAGGACTGCCTCAAGGTTCCCCGTGGGTCCCACAGTGCTTGGCACAGGGTCTGGCATGGGGTTGGCGGGGGAGCCAGCCCTACCTTATAGTGTAGTCCTGCGGGACCGGGTGTGGACAGGGGCTGACCCATGCCCTGCTGCAGGGGCAGCCTGTGCCCAGGGTAGGAGGGGGAAGGGGCAGGGGGCTGCCCTGGGCCGGGCGCGTACTGGGCAGTGCTGGGCGTGTACTGGCCTCCTTGCAGGTACTGCTGCCCGGGGTACACCTGAGGAAGAGGCAAAATGCCCCGGGGGAGAGAAAAGGCGTCAGGGAGCCGGTTTCTAGAAGGAAAGAGTATCCATGTACTTAGGGGCAGGGTCGGGGAACAGTGGCAGGGCTCCTGGCCCCCTGGGGACCCTGCTACAGCACCAAGGGGCAGAGGTCTGTTCTCACCCCTGCCCTGATGGGCGCGTGGGCACTCACCTCAGAGTAGGCTCGTTTGAGCCCCTGTCGGGGCAGTGGCTGGGCCTGGGGGGGGCCGGGGGAACCCTGCTGGGGCAAGCGCGCGCATTTTTTCGGGGCAGTGGCTGGGCCGGGGGGGCCCCGGGGTAGCCATGCTGGGGCAGGCGCTGCCCTGTGTACAAAGGCGGCACGCCTGCTGCCCGGGTAGGGTTCATGGCCAGGGGAGAGAGGCCGGAAGGACCCATCACTCCTCCCAAGCCTGTGGGACTCATGCCAGGGGGCACGCTGGGCCCACGGGGACCTCCATGCTGTAGAAACTGGCTGTTGAAAGGCTGCCCAGCCCCCATCTGGGAAGAGAAGAAAGAGGGCTGATCGAGACCCCACCTACGCAGGGTTCCTGTCTCCCAACCCCCATGCCAGGCAGGGTGCCCTTGGCCCTGTCCCCTCAGACCCTCAGTCCTTCCCAGCACCCCGTCTCAAAGGCCTCATAGGCCCGGCATGTATGTGCTCGTCCCCTAGTTCCCCCAGACCCGCACGTGCCGGCACCAGCAGGAGGAGTTGAGGGCCTCACCGCTCCGTACTGGCTCAGCTCCTGGCTCTGCTTCTCCTGCAGGGCAGCAACAGTGGCCGTGGCAGTGGCTGTGGCGGTGGCTGCGG